GCGTGAGGAATTGTGAATGCGAGATGGATTTGTTAAGGAGATGTCCTCGTGTTTTGCATGTCGGGAAATATCCGCCACGACTGTCGTCACTGCTCCACCGGTTTTTCACTGCACTTCTTCCGTCTGATCAACGGTGGCAGCGTTAGTCATGCTATATAAAAAGCAGACGCTTACTAATACGACTGTTGTTGGATATCTCTTCCAGAAACGCGCAAGTTATCCTCTGACAGTAATGCGACATGCCTGACGGAACTGCAATCTAAGCCGCGTGCTGTGTGACTATTTTAGCTGTCGCTTGCAGGCGTTTTTCGGTAAACTTGATAAGGCCGATACATTAAGCGCCCCAGCAGAACAAAGACACGGTATGCACGGTATGCAAGCCCGCGTGGCCTAAATAAAAATCATGGCTTAAGCCAGAACCGACCTTGGTATTGTGTGCGAAAGTACCATAGAGAAACGCAAGGGCCAAAAACAGTTTGGAAGAGGGCCTTAGACATTCGAAATGTAGCGGAAAGAGTCGCGTTAACAGGTGTTTTATTGCGTGTCAGACGCGTAGAATCGCACCAGGCGCCATGCAAAGTGAATTGTGTAGTGAGTGGGCAGTTGAAAGCGACAAGCAATCATCATCGTCAAATCTGCACATACTAACGGGCGCTCTCAACGTCTGATGATGGTCATTATTACTACAACGATGATCTTGATGAAACAGCCACACCAAATGATTTTCGCTCTCGTGTTGTCATAGGCGAAGGCGTAAGAGGCCTGTGAGTTTTTTTAACCAATCAAGGCGTGCCTGTTCGCACACCGTACATATACGACAAAAAATCAAAGCATTCGAAGATTGTCCCTGTGCAGTCCATTGGAACGCAAAACAGGAGAGGCGAAGATAGTAGGTTGGCCTCCGCCCATGTATACTATAGTGCTTTCGTTCCTCAAGGTCATCGTCGAGTTGTCGGGACTGAGCTCCGCTTTCCGCCGGCGAGCGGAAGATCGCGGAGGTCACGCTCCGTGTTCAATCTGGTTGATCTCTGCGCCACCAGGTGCCGCCACAAAATGCGGCCGCGCACGTTTTTTTTTTTCTGTCGCAAACGCAAAGAAGCTAGTCACATTGGTCGCACTAGTGAAGTCGCAAAACATACCACGTACCAATTGCAGTGGCAGCCTCGCGTGTATGCGACTTTGCTTCTAGCTGTAGTGATATACGTACCAAAGAGAGACAGAGAGAAACAAGCAAAGCGAGGAAAGTTAACCAGACGCACGTCCAGTTCTCTATGCTACACGGGGTGAGATGGATGAAAGGGCCATAAGAGAAGCACGGAAGAGATGGATAGAAAGATTGACTAACTCACATGGAATAGTAAATCTAGTATACAGGCGGTCACAGATATGTTGTATTGAAAAAAAAATTGCACCCATTATATGTCGCGCTTAAAAAGATATATTCCGGAGACCAAATATTTGCAGTGCTAGCTGGCTCAACATATCTAACAAGAACGGCGAAAACGTCATCAGGGCCCCAATAAATAGGACTGCCAAGTGTTACATTGAACAATCAGGACCACGGAATTATATGTTGCTTTCAGTTTTTCGTTTTATTTTTTCAGTTTCAGTACGAGTTGAATAGTTCCGTGTGCATCATTTACAAAACACTTGTATACAGGTGAGGGTCCCAGAGTATACGTTCTGAAAATGGTACCCTTAATTTAATATTTAAAGGACAACCATCCGCCGGTAAGCAAGATACTATCTTTTTCATTTATGACGTGAAAGAAAAATTCCCGCGGTTTTGTACGCAACCATCGCTTCCTAATCGTGCGTGCCATGCTGTCGGACGTTTGCGGGGCACGTCCTTGGCAGCTCCCGCCAGTCTGTATGGGCCGCGGGAGCAGCCGTGGAGGGGACTTCATTGTTTTCGCAGGAATTTCAGGCACGTTTTTCCTGGCGCCGACGCCGCGGGTGTCGTTTCAAGGGCTTTGAGAACAGCGCCCCCGAGCTGGCGGGGGCAGTTAAACTGCACTTTGCTCGACTTGCTTACCGAAAGAACGAGAGGTATATATAAAAAACGAAAAACTATTGTGCGTCACATTTTGCTCGAGCGGTTTTAGTTTGACCTTATGCCCTCGCACGTCGCATCGTAGGAAATATTCTAAATGTGCCTGTGCAGGCGAGGGTAAAGACCGCGAAGTGGGGCAAGTACAGGTTACTATAGTTTTTCACTGCACGCTGGCTCAAATTTTTTTCAGTTTCAGCGAAAGGATGTTGGGATGGATAGTTTCCGCGCGCGCGCGCGCGCGCGCGCACGCACGCACGCACACACACACACACACACACACACACACACACACACACACACACACACACACACACACACACACACACACACACACACACACACACACACACACACACACACACACACACACACACACACACACACACACACACACACACACACACACACACACACACACGCACGCACGCACGCACGCACGCACGCACGCACGCGCACGCGCACGCGCAGAGTCACAGAGAGAGAGAGAGGTCCACTTAGATGGAGCACTAAGGTTTCGGGCAGGACATTTAAGAAAGGTCTTTGAGTTTTGGAAAATTAGAATGAGGAAAATGAGAAAGGTCTTTGAGTTTTGGGTAAGTGAGACCGTCGAGGAGGCATACGGGACACCGGTGTCCAGCAGCTTAATTATCTGTTAATGCTTATAATTAATTATGTAAAGGGGGTTTATTGAAGGACTGAGCAAGCGGGTGGTAGCTCTAAAGGAACGCAGGCGAACCCAGATGACGGTGCTTGATCGCCGATCTCGTGCCTTCTTCTTGTGCTGATGATAGCTGACCTGATGGTATCAACGTCTTTCTTATTCACTACAATTAAAACGTCTTTCCTGCTTTATCGCGAGAGCGTCAACCAACTCGCTTCGCAGAAATTCGGGTGTCGGTGGCGTCGTAGTTGGTTTTGAGCGAAAGATCAGCACTGCACGTGAGCGAAAATACTCGGTAGATGCAAGTAATGAATCAGTAGAAAATCTTTGATTGAAACCAATAGTTCGAGCCTGCCACCCCTCGGCTCCTCGTGGCGCGATGCGTTTAGCCGCTCAGCTTCCGCGCATACATGCTTTATCGTACAAACGGCGATCTGTTTCTGTGCAGAATTTACAGTTCGTACGCGGTACGCTCATCTTGGTGATTCTTCTATGTAAGTGCCAACGCTACAAGACAAGAACTGACTGCAGCTCTGGATAGACTGGATGATCGGCCTTTGTCGGAACAAAGGATTCTGGGTCATTGGCCGAGGCCATTCTTAGCCCAGAAGGCTTTGAGAGCATTGCTACGCTTTTTGTGGACAACTGGCCTCAGAGACAGACTTTAGTATCTTATACTCATTGATGTTGCCTTTCCTCTGTCGCATTTTTTTTTTAATTTCTCTCTTTCTCTCTTTGCAACATTTCTTTCTAACATCTTTTATTCACCTCACCCCTTTCCCCAGCACAGGGTAGCCAGCCGGTCTAAGAACCGGCTAACCTCTCTGTCCTTTCGCTTAAACTTTCCTCCTCCTCCTTTCCTCATCGGTGATTCTTCAGGGACTTCACTGTCACCCGCGAGATGGCGCCAAAGCCCCCGAGAGTGCGCTTTTAAACGGCATCGCCCCGCCGTGTTTGGTCGCGACGCATGCATACACAGAAGCCGGAGGGTATCCGTGCTTTGGCTTTCCTCGCAGCACGGTTTAGGTCTACACCGAGAATCGAAGGCAAGCGAGCGATAGAAACAGTGACATGAACGCGGTCTGGTTAGGATATCGTGTTCTGCTGTTGAAAGTGGAGCTCAAGCACCCGCAAAGTTTTTTTTTTCTTACTTTTGCTCACCGTGTCTCTATTTCTTCTTTCTCAGTCCAACACTTATTTCTCCGCCCCACTCTGAGGTAGCCAAGCGAATGCACTATAGGCCCTACAGTTTTAGTGTGATGTTAACCTCGCACAAAAAAAAAAAAAAAAATCTCTAGGGCTCCGTGGATTCCGCATTAACGTGACCGGAACGTGACGAAAAATTAAGCTTTGAACACCTTAGCACTAACCAGAAAAATTGAAATTGAGGTATGACGTGTAGAAATAGTGACTGTACTGGTGAATTAACAAGGCATTCGCCAGTGGGACTATCTCTGAGTGCGAAGCGCCAGCGGTGTGCACGAGCTGTGGACGTCAAGCCCCTTCGACTATTTCTGTCTGTACCGGCTGTTTGCCTGTATACTACCAGGCGTCGTTAATGAACACCATTGCAGTGACCATCACTTGTTGATACAGTGACAATCGCTTACCTTTCATAGTGACATCGCCTACCTACTGTTCGTTCAGCACGCATTTCACATGTGTATACGATGTGGATTTCCGTTATTGAGGAACTCCAATAGACGGGAACTTTTACAAGGCGCCTTTAATTCATATGCAAGTCTACTCGTTTAAAGTATTTTACTATCGCAGTGTTCTAGTGGTGCCTACCTCTTGTTTCGTATTGTTTCCTTGTCATCTATAATCAATCGCTGATCGCAACGAAACCCTCCTTTTCTGTTCAGATCTGGTTTCTTCGCGCTTTTGTCAAGCTGGTTTTATATGAGCACCAACCTTTACTACGAATGACTAAAACTACAATCTTCTACGAACTAGCCTAAAAGTTCAGCCTTTGCAGTTGTCAAGTTATCGTATAACTGCAACTCGTGGTGGATAGGTTTAGCGTTCTCCTTTTTGTTCTTGTTTTTCTTAGTTCAAATCGTATTCTTGGCTCAACTCCACGGTTAGTCCCGACACAGCCCCAGGCCCACTTTTGTCGCGTGTACGCTCTTAGATCACAGAGAACTGTGTAGTTTCAGGAAAGTCATCCGGCGTTATACGTACGTGCGGAAGGGCGTTGCCACGCCAAGGTCATGAACTGGCACCGAGTGACTGGCGGGGCGTGAACGAATAATTACGCAGGCGATGGCATTGGAGACACATTGCCGAGTTTTTCATTATCATTTTATTGCCGTATTGCTCTGCGTTTTCATATAGTTACACACGTGCACGTTCATGGGAAAAAAAAGTGACGTCACAGGGGGCGGTCAGAAAACCGTGAGCGAAGGACTAGTCAAGATAATGAATTGAAAAACTTGAGACGCACACAATGGACGTTTCGTAAGGAGACTGCTAATGAGGTGTATGTAAACATTACTGCAGTTTACAAATGCCGCGTCGTTGTATTTACGTCAGTGGGGCTTCACGTGAGTGAGGCTTTTAACACGTGCGCACACTGCATGCGAAGGCTTGGCGTGGCAGTATACTCGTACTGCCCTTAAATGCACGTTATAACTGTCTAGTTAGCGAGATTAGCGTGTACAGACTAACTAGCAATAAATACTGTGGCTATCTTTAAGGCATCACTTTGGCGAAGCTATATATAAGCGTTTTTCGTGGCACGTTCTCGGGACTTTCTAAAGCTGTGGCAGTTGTGTTGTTAGCGCGCGAAGGCTTGTGAAATGCGTCTACTTGTCAGGTACAGATATAGGCGAATATTAGAAGCACTAACCTTTCACCAAGTAGGGTGGTGTTATCACAGTGGAGTAAGTGTTGTAGAAAAGTGCGTAGTGGCTTGAGCTTTAGTACGGAGGGCGAGTCATAATTTCTTTTACTGCGCCTGCGCAGTCTTTGATGGAACGAAAAAATATGTTAAAAAAAGTAAATGTACCTTTAAGCGACTCATCATGAAATTGAGATATATAAGTCGAAGCCGAAGCTAGATTTTTTTCTTGTTTTGTGTCGGCGTCTTTCTTCCTTCATTATCACACTGAAATGTCAAGACCATGCATTCGTTTTACTGATGGGGTAGAGAGAGGCTAATAATCTTTTAGACGTGGTACGCGGTTGCATAGTGTTCTATTCCGAAGGTGCACAAATAAAATGTGAGGAATGTGCTGCTGTTTGGGAATTATTACAGTGCTTCGGTGCAAAAGTACAACCTTTTAAAGCCACATCATTCACACTTCACGCGAATTGAAGCGTGGAGTTAGGCGAATGCTTTTTTGTCTGAAAGCCCTGAAATGTTTCTAGTACGTCTAATCGTCTATAATCCTCGCATCATTGTTTGCTGCCAAGCTTAAGAGAGGCCCTATTATTTTTCATTTTTCGTTGATGGAATACCTACATTCACAGTTTACTAAGCTTCGGTTAGCCACTTGAAATACACCGAAGTTCATCGCGACGTCTCTTGCCCTTGCCTTCTCGTGACGTATGTCAAGGTGACCACTGGTTCGTCCCCTTGTCCTGGTGTCAGTTCATTGTGTTACGTTACCTGACATTGTGTGCATCGTTAAAACGCATTGAGAGCGGAAAGTATCGTCTCCAATGAGGCTCAAGATTAACTTGACGAATACTTAAGAGTGAATTAATTGGTCGTTACGAAGTCGTCGGCTTCCGGTTCGCCGGTGAGTCTTTAGTGACTGAGAGGAAGTTGGCGTGCGCCGGCTTTCGCCGCACTGTGCAGCTTTGTTCGAGTCTGTTTGGCTGTGGCGAACACGGATCACACTCAACAGTTTTTGGGCACATCGGGCACGCCACCGTAAGAACTTCAATACTTCAAATCTGTCTCCTTGGATGGAGTCGCTATCCGCGTTCCTTTCATCTTTGGTCTCCGGTTTCCGGACATGCAACCCCTTCTTCCACTGTCGACGAGCGTGCAGGTCAACGCGTCAGCTCCCTGCATCCGGAATTTCCCTGCGAAGAACGTGAACGTCAATGGCGAAACAGAGTCGTTTGTGACCTTCAAGGTGCAACGACAGTGCAGTCTTCCGCTCTGTCCTTGGAACCTTGTAGTTTGTGCTATGGTCTCCAGAACACTGCCTACTTCGCTAATAGGAAACTTCGTGGAAATCTTGGGAAAACATTTGGTACTGAACCTCGAGAGAAATGAAATGGTGGTTTGCATTTTGAGGCACGCTTATTCAGCTTCCAGTGTGCTGTAGACCAGATATATCTGTTTGTGAGGACGTGTGTGTGCGCAGTGTGGTGTGGGCGATGGTGCGCGTATGTGTAACGGGACCGACGTTATGAGTGTACTGCTGGTATAAAAGGGCTGCCAACTTATCTACACCCTTTTGTAACTATATCTACACGAGCAGTACTCTGGGAAATAAGAAAACTGTCTCGCGCCTTGTCGGATAAAAGACCGTATAGACTTCTGTGCATGTTTCAGGGAGAGTTGTGAGAATAAAAATATAGCAAACTTGTGAATATCGTCGTTATGCGCTCAGTGGTTAGCCTCTCTTTTGTGTGTCGCGGTGATTACGGCAGTCTGTTTCTTTGTTGCGTGCCGTGTAAAAGAGACTGCATAGAAATGATGAAATATGCTAAAATCAGTACGGCAGACCACCAGATGCGTCAGATACAAAACGGGCACGATAGGCTTGGAGGTGCGGAACGTTCGCGTAGAAGATCTGCGACGTCGGTATTTTTTGGTAACTTTGTGCTTTGGGCGTGTTGGTTTGTCATTGAAGTTTTATAATAGGGCGCACGAAAAAAACACGGCCAGAGAAAGGTGCGACACACACAGGCGCTTTAATGCTTTGTTTGAAGTTAGCGTCTGTGTATGCCATGTCTTTCTCTGTCCGTGTTTTCTCGTCCGCTGTAACACTTCAGACTCGAAGTGTATGCGTATACTGTCGGTAAACTTAAACAAGTACGAGCATTTCACTTACGAACATGGACAAGAACTCTACATAGCGCACAGTACTTCGTTTGTACGCAGATGAATTTACGAGTGTTCATCAGCGACTGTACGCAACTTGCGCCCTAAAATCGTGTCCGTCAGCGGGACTAGTCGCCGCTGCTTTAGGTTCACCTGTGGTTACTCCTGCCTCTCCATGCGAATCTTTCCCAGAGGAAGTATACAAACCCGGACACATCTGAAAGGCTGGCGATGACTTATAGAGCTGCCAGAAGGGTTCTGACTGGATTGTGATACGCGGGTGCCTTCAGTCCTTGTGGAGCGCGACTGTGAGGCTGATCCACTTGGGCAGCAGGTCTCGCAGCGAGACGTGCTTGACTGTGTGGTGCTCCGTGTGTACGTGGTGGACTTTTGGTTCCTCGTGGTGCACTTCCGGTTCCTCGTAATGCACTTCCGCTTCCTGTGGGTGCCTGCAGCGATAGGACGGAGCGAAAAGACTCAGCATCTATTAAAGGGCGAGCAGCGGCACAGACATTAGCAATGGTGCATCCGAAAATTGTATGGCTTAACTTCTAGTTACTTTCTTGATTTAATGTACCAGTGTGGCATGGTGCTTTGCTAATCGCTATTAGGCTTGACTGCGATAAAAATTATCTTAAGCATTGATTGACTTTCTTCCCCTGCTTGCGTGAAGGAGTCAATCGCGATCAATAAATTCAATCCAGATCAGGCCTGATTGCAACAAAAGAGACCTGTGCTCAAAAGTAGCAACAAAATTACATAATTATAAAATACGAAAATGAACAGAAAATATATAAAGGCGAGGCTACATGCACGGGCTGCGCTATTGTGCAATTATGACAAATGAGTGGGTTGCCTAAATTAGGCCGCTTTACTTCGCAGTCGTCATGTTTTATGGCCTTGAGTTTTATTATTAAACCAAGTTCAGAAAGACTGGCTGTTAAAAGGGCTCTGAAACATCTCTATAGCATGGCCAGAAAACGCTGCTGATTGGTAGTGGAGGCTCTCAGAACACGTGAGCCAAATATTACAGCGCAGCACAAAGGCTTGAATTTTCAATAAGTTCCCGAAGTCAGCTAATAACAGCTTTCTTTCTTGGCGTTAAATTATGCTATATGCAAAGAATTCATTGCGCCAGTGGCCCGAGTATCACGCCACTGGCTGATTTCAGCATGGTGTGCTCGGGAGTTATTGTGGGCGCAGCGGGAGACGCGATGTATCCGTGCGTGTGCGCGCGATCGCACTGGAATGCCGCGATTTTGAAGAAAAGTGCTCAAAGTCACGAGGCGCGCTTGACGCAGCTTCTTCCCCCGCGCCATCCCTCCCTGCTTCGCTTCCAGCACTTTCCTCGGGGCGAGAGATGAGAGCATGCAATTGCAGCGTGCGAAAAATCTGTGTAACTCTTCTCGTACAAAATTCATCGAAAAAAAAATGTGGTCAGTTCTTGAGGCAATAAGCTTCTTCTGAACTCATTCCATGGCTATTTGAACAGTGTTTCAGGGCCTCTTTGAGTGGTGTGACATGCCAACGTAATTGAATAATGCGTGACACAAGTGGTGGTGAACTAGAGTGGTGGCATTGCTTTCAAAGCACTGGAAGTGCAGAGAGGGCCGGAGAAAGCTTTAAAGCTGATGGGTTTCCAAACAAATTGCTGGCATCAAATGAAATTGGCTCGCGTGACGCATTGTAACTTGGAGATCATTGGGAGCGGACTTATTCCTGCAGCAGACACGAAAAATAGGTTGCTGTTACTGCTACTGATGTTGCTGGTGCTGCTGCTGTTGCTGACGATGATGGCGTATGTTTGCACGCTCATTCAACTTCGATTCGCATCGTAGATTTTGCCGTGGTTGTCGCTGGCGTAGCGAAATTCTGCGATATCTGTTCAGCTCTTTTATAAGCGTACATGTCCATCGCTGCTTGTGGAAGGAAACACGTATTGGAAGAGAACAGGATGAACCAATATGCCAACCTGGAGATCTTTGCACATATTGCCTCTTTATTTATGGCGGATTTGATCGGATACATTATCTTCATTGTGGTTTTTCTCAGTTAGCTGCAATATCTCATGGAAGTTGTGTAACTAATATAGGTCAAGGTCATACTGCCTTCGTTACTACCTAGTTCACACTTCCGATTTTATCTGCCTTTACTTTGTGTGAACTGTCCACCAACATCTGACCTTTGATGCGGTCCTTACGTGAATGAAACAGAAGAATCTCAAAACCAAGCACTTGAATGTCCGCACGAAACGAGATATTGTTTGTTTGTAGCACGTTTTCTTTCTCTCTCTCTCTCTTTTCGCTCAAGCCAAAGCATCTGTGTCCCAAGTGATCTGTTTTGAATGAATAAACTACTTGAAGAGTTAGGAGCACCACATTTTATTTGCAACGTTAACGAAGGGGCTGTGCTTAGACCAAGAAATAATGTTCTCCTTTGTCGTGCGGCCTAGTGGTTTTCAATGAACACTTTCTCGTCCAGCACATTTACGGTAACTTCGACAAGCTCACATTTTCGGAGGACTCACGTGAAGACACTTGAAACGTGAAATGTTTATTATCTCTGTCTCTTGAAGTGTCAACGTGGGTCGGCCGGAAGGTAAAGGTCGAGTTAAGAACACCCTTGTCTAATCTGTCCTTCAAATAGCGCGTGGTAATTTTTGCGCTTTCTAGAACACAGCTTTCTTGTTTGTTTGCCTCTGTGATCGTTGATTGAATGTTCATTACTGGAGTAGTGCGTTTTTTGTCCATACGATTATTCCTTCGAGTTTCAAACAGCCACCATTCACGTGTCGACGTATCAATGAGGATGACGACACCAGCGCGGCATGCGAATTCTGTCATGTTTCACGCTTGAAGCTATAAAAAATGCTTGGACACGGGATGTCGCTAGAGTGAACGCTTTGACAGGCAGTCTTGTCTTATTCAACGCAGCAAGACCACAAGGTTGCCTTTTTCAAGGATGCCTTGAGATCGACAAGACCACTTGTTGCCGATTGCGTGGTCTCGTAGACAACAAATGGACAGGCCGACAACAATTGGTGTTGTTGGCGCAACAAAACTGATTGTTGTCGACCTGTTTATTTGTTATCTACGAGAACACATAGTTGTCGACAAATGGTCTTGTCGATCTCAAGGCATCCTTAAAGAAGGCAACCTTGTGGTCTTGCTGCGTTGAATAAGACAAGACTACCGGTCAAAATGTTGACTCCAGCGACAACCCCGTGTTCAAGGATTTTTCATCACTTCTAGACTCCGTCTTCCAGTGTACCTGTACGTGTGAACGTAAAACTGTCTGCGTCTGCAGAAAAAGAAAGACGCAGAGGCGTTGGGTCATTTACATATTTATTGTCCCACGCGCGGCGCACGCTGTAATGCTGTTCATGACTCGCTTGATTGTCGAAGGCTGCTCTGGCTGCGTCCCTGTGGAGAGCACCACTGGCATTTCTTCTCGAGACTCGGCTTCCAGGCTGCTCGTTGTGGAAACGTAGCTCACCAGGTGGTGCACGAGTGGCGTTTCAAGCTGTTTCTGTATTCACTAATGTCCGGTGCGGTACTTGAAACGATGGTTCGTGGACAATGGCAGATGAGTAATTGTAGGAGATCTTCGCTGAGATTGGCCGTTGCTCTGTGTCTCTCTCGGCTGGTCCTCATCGTCACACGCTATTCTTGAACCGGGATCCGCGATGCGTTATTGAGGCCAGGTCGATGACACAGAACGTCCGCCTATGTGAGCATCTAGTCTAATGTCATGCTATATATTATCGTATGGGCAGGTTACTGCGAGTACGTTGAGGAAATGTTGAAGCGTTAACAGCCATGTTACGACAAGTTTTACGTTTTTATAGTGACAAAACACAGACGGCACAAAAAGAAACGTGCAGTGGAAGTGGAAAAACGCATCAGGTCTTCTATGTCGGTTTCAGGCCAAACATATAACGTCAAAATTCGAAGCTCTACTATGTTTTCTGCCTTGTTTGTCGGAAATGGCACACACGATCGCGCCATCTGCCAGACTTCATTTCTACAGGACAGCTTTCGGCCTCTTTTTGCTCATGAGTGGTCTATGAATGATCAAGGAATGATTATAAGACTTAAGGGTTAGAGAATAGCGGTTATACTGGAAGTTACGGTAGGCTCTGTCGCATGAAATCGCATCATCTTTCATCATGACTTTGAAGAAGGGTTGCATGGGAAGGGGATGTTGGAATATAGGAAGGGTAGGTAGAGACTGGGGGATAAGTGGCGGCCATTTCACGCCATAATCGAAAGAACTCTTGCTCGCTTTCATCGTGGGCGGCCAGGGACGGTCTACAGGTGCTCGCAACAAAAGAAACGCACTACCTGCGGCGCCCTCCGCGACTAGCTGAACGTGGCCGTACGAGCTCTACACGCGCACAATTCTCATGCTTTCCTGCGTTCGTCGTCCTTCGCCGTCGAGTTGCGTCGCTGTATGTCTGTCGACCTGCAAAGACAATTTTCACAATTGTACCTCGCCGCGTTCTTGTCGTGAGACCCATGCGCTCACATCGAAGCAAGCCGGGGCGGGAAAGCGCGTGGCAAAAGCGTTTGTCATTTGTCATTGCTTAATGCTGTCAGTGGTTTAGATTTTGCTCTGAGAGTAGATGTTGCCATCGGTGCATACGTGCCGGCGAAACAAGGCATTAGCACTGTTTGCCATCGAGATTTCGCCCTTTGGAATTGCCTGCGTCCTCCTTTTGCGGTTCCTGGTTTGCGCATCTCTGGGTCTTCGAAGCTCGAATTCCTCAAATTATGTTAATATTTCGTGTGCGTCCGGGATGCGCGTGTTATGCTTTTGTGGAGGACGCGGGTCCACCGTATCCAGAGTTATGGTACTCGCTACTAAATCGCGTATTGTATCAGCGCCAACAATTGCTTCATTGTTCCAATGAAAGAAAAAAAAATCGTATGCCCGGGCCTCTCTCTGACCACTTTCCAGATTTTCCACGTTCATCGAAACCTGTCACCTTAAGTCGATACTGCAAACGTGGATCTACCGTTCCACCACGCCTTGGTATTGGGCCTGGTAGCATAGGTGAACTGAAAAAAAAAATCAGTGGGACGGCTTAATTTGGTACATCGTTGCGTCCTGGAACATTGAATCGATTAGTACATGTCAAATATGTCAGCAGGGTACGTGTGAAAAGTGGCATCTGCTGCGGACTCCATAATGCAAAAGGGCGCACTAGCTGGGCTATGTTCCTCTTCAGAACTGCTACATCGCTCGGTCACAGTTGTTCTGTTCTTCTCAATAACGAACGGAACTCACTGGCTCTACGTCTTACTGGTTTGGCAAAAAGTTGACCTATTGACCATAAAAACATAGGCCTTTCGTTACGTCGCTCAAATTAACTGCGCACTGACTAGCTTTATCTCTGCCTTTCAATTTTTAAAGCGTAATGCATCAACGCTGCGGAAGCTCGCGAAAGCATGATCATAGCGTAGAGAACGTAGAGAATGGCAATTTTAACAAGCGAGCGAAACACTTGCCTGAGTTCACGGCACGTTTCGATATCTTGCCGGTACAAATTCAGCCACTCACCCCGAGTCCCAAGGCTTAGATTCCCAAGGCTTAGATTCCCATGGCTTTGATTCCCATGGTTTGGACTCCCACGGACCGGACGACTCCCAGCCTCCCGGCGATGCCCAGCCACCTCCGCCTCCGGACTGCTGCTTCCAGCCGCCCGAGTACGTGGGCTGCTCGTCCTGCCACTCATCCTTGTGCTCGTCTTGCCACTCGTCCTTGTGCTCCTCCTTGACCACTTTGACCTCCTTGTATATGGGTATGGTCTTGTACACCGGGATGGTCTTGTAGATCGGGATCTCCTTGTACACGTACTTCACCCTGTGTGTGGGACTTGGGAGAATTAATAGAGGTTTTTAGCTTATCCGCTGCTTTGGTAAACACAACAGGTATTACGGAATACAGTGTTGCCGAAGGACGGCTGCGACATATTGTGGCGTTTCATACAACCACAATTATACACACGTTTGTTTTGCCTAGTGTCCTTGAGGAAAACAATTCGAGAAAGGCAAGTCATTTGGAGTTAAACATGTGCGGGGAGTTTACGAGAAGTAGAATTCAATATGGGTTTCTGCAATGACAATTCTGTACTTGCCAGGTTCATCTCGACCCCGCCAGATTAAACCATCTTTCTAGCTTCTCACGCGTTCGGCTACGCCTCACGTGTATAATGCCAATGCAAAGAAGTTTGCGCACACAATAAAACTCTCTGTTGGCAAGTTCGCGAGGCTGGAGCTATGTCACAGCGCGTGGTATAAGATGGACAGGACCTTTGTCATGCGTGATGAATGGTAACCAGTCAGCTTTAGTGATTGTTAGGACGTCAAGGTCTACTTGCTACGAAGGCTTGGTCTAACAATATTGCTTGCACATATATTAGCTGGGGAAGATGATTTGGACTATGGGCCGGGATATACTATGTGAGGTGTGCTGAGCTGGCATTCTTATTTAGGTTTCAGGAAATCCTCTCGCTTTGCTGCTTTTCTGCTTTTGTCAAGGTACAACCGACTGAGCTCGCAGTGAAATGCCAGCATTACTCGAGGTGCTAATGTAAGTTTTTTAAAGTAAATTAGAATCGTCTGCATAATTCTGAACCGTGGTTGTCAGTGTCCGATCACTCCTTTTGCGTTGTCTAACATGTAATCGGGGCTGCTCTTGCCGTGTTAAAATGAGGAGAATCAAATTAGTGTAGAGAAAATGTTAACGCCTAGAAGCGCAGGAGACGGCACGAGACGTGCAATTGCAGACAGCTTGCAACGCAAGGCCACGCCAATTGAAAAGCATTTTGGCGTGGCAAACTGTAGCTAAACAATGAGCGTAGGCGACTTACGGCTTGATAAATATGCTCTTGCTGATGTGTAGCCACGGGATTATGTGTCCCGCATCACAGATGGCTGCTAGGCAGCAGGCCGCTAGCAGTGCCACGACCGCTTTCATATCTGCGTGACAAACACCAAAAGAAACAACTTAGAACATCTCCCTAAAGTGAACCCTGATGGGAGACAAAGCAGCAGTGTTGCGCGCGGGTGGTGTCACGGGTTGAGCGGCGTTAACGCGGGCGCTGCGGTGAGCGCTGGAAGATTCGTATAAAGTGATGGCTGGCATAGGACGTAGAGACATACGCCCGTCAGGTTCATTGCGCGTGAACCGACGAGTCGGCGGTGTAGTGAGCGGTGGTCGCGGCAGATGTTGCGGGAGAACGGACGAAGCGGCAGCTGCGGGCGCCCCGGCGAGCGCGTGACAGGCGAGAGAGAGTGACGTCGCGCGCGCTGCGAGGGAGCGGGACAACAATGCGCAGCAGCGGCGTGACCTACTTGGCACCGCGCCAACAACTGCGGCGCGCGGTGCGTTCGTACGGAGAGAAAGCGTTACACAGGCTAGTCCAAGGGCTGCTTCGCATTTGAAATGGTAGAGAACTCAGCCGTTGTAAGGGGGTTGACCAATCACAGTGCTGACATCATAACCGCAGAGGCAATATCGGCCATCATTCATCATCATTCAGCAAACACGAGCCATCGTCAGCTATCATTTAGCTATACTAATCAGAGTTAGCAATTGTACAGCCAACATTAGCTTGACACTATCCTTTGAGGTCACGTTGATTCGTTGTTGGGATTCCCGCTGCCCATATCTGTAGCAGAAGTGCCCTCCCATACCAAATTTATATATTGATGAGCGTACCGTAGACGGTATGCTCATCTTCTATTTTGAGCTCCTATAGCTCCTATAGATTGATTGATATGTGGGGTTTAACGTCCCAAAACCACCATATGATTATGAGAGACGCCGTAGTGGAGGTCTCCGGAAATTTCGACCACCTGGGGTTCTTTAACGTGTGCCTAAATCTGAGTACACGGGCCTACACTATTTCCGCCTCCATCGGAAATGCAGCCGCCGCCGCCGGGATTTGAACCCGCGACCTGCGGGTCAGCAGCCGAGTACCTTAGCCACTAGACCACCGCGGCGGGGCAGCTCCTATAGAGAGTGATGTCCGCTGTTTATATAGCAGAAGCATAGACCTGCGTTGACACTTGGTCACTGAACTGCTCCCCGCAGTCCAGAGTGCGCGTTTAATTTGTTTGTGTTATACGTTCGCTCAAATCGCATAATACCAGCGTTTTCTCATTTCGTCGTCTTCGGGTGCGGTCGCTATGGACAATCCGCGACCTCTGGCTCGCATCCGTATCACGACAGGTATTACGTTATTGGTCTTTCTAAGCGATAACAATAATCACACTGGGACATAACCTTGGAAAATTTTCTAGTGGCTCAGGAGACGCGCACATGCAAAAAAAAAAAATGGCGGCAAAGCGAGAGACGAAGAATAAATTACTCCTCGGTGTAAGCGATTGCAAGGTCGCGCGACTGACTATACATTGCACAATTTTTCAAGTTCTCACGTATATGACTTACAATACAGCGTGGCACATAAGTGCACATAACCAGTAAGTGATTCCGAGAGGCGGATTTTCAAATGTCAAGCGCATTACATCCGTGGTTGCAGTATACAGCGTCTTATTCTGAAAGCTCACAGCATGTTGTTGTTTACATGCACACATCTGTTATCTCTGTAGACATCCCCACGACGTACGAGCAAAGAGCACCAGCCATTCTTTTTTTGAAGTGAAGTGAAGTTGAAGTTTATTTCAGGCAAAAGCAAAAAGAAAAAAAAAGAAGAAAGGTACAATTTGCCTAGGGGACCGGCGAAAAGGCATAAAAGCCTGACAAAGCGCCTGCCCCCTGTAAACCCAAAACCCACCAAAATAACACAGTGCTCAGTGTAAAGTAAAGAGTCAATAACAAATTTAGCATAAATAAGTTTCTACATGCAAATCATGTACAGGAAAACATAAATGAGCGAAAAATTTGCGCAGGCAATGAAATCAATAAAGACTCTTGTTCAGAGTCTGTCTAAATGTTCGACACGGCGTCCTCTTTTGTCTGTGGTGCTGTATCGAAGCTGTTGTCTAACGCGCATTTTGTGAGCCGTGCGTCCCTTGTCGCTCTTTGTCGCCGCGAGCAAGGGGCACAATAGTACGCGCACACGCACACAGCGCTTGACACGTTCCAGCGCTATCTTGACCTTCGCCGTTCATCTATAGCGGCCTTTGTTTCACCTATCGTACACATTCTCGTCTCGCGCCGAATAGAAGTCGCCGGCAGTGCACTGGCGCCGTTGTTGATGGCGCGTGTACGAGGAAGACCAATTGCAACGGAATCATTCACCGCGTAAGAAGGCTGCAGTTTTATTGTACAGCGTACAGATGAGATAAGGGAGCCTTCGCGTCGTGTTTTTTGCTTTAGGTGTGATTAGATAAGTCTGAAAAACTCGGAAAAGCAGACGTTACAATACCGGTACTAATAAGGAAGAAACAAAAAAATTCGCGCATCTCCACGAAGTGAATAATGACGAGTGGGTGAACCACTGGGGATCGTTCTTACCGTAAGTAAACCGAGACATTGCCCACTGACGCATGTAAATGAGTGAACACGCGTGTAATGCGCTTTCGCCGTTAAGCCGTCGCTTCCCTTGCCCTCAATGATTCCGGAGTAGCAGCTTGCTGTCGACGTTGCCGTTTCGCCGCTGCTTTGCTAACTCCCTCCGGGATAGCCTGTTCTACGCGCCGTGGCGTTGCCTTTTGCGGGCGAGAGCGCGTTCACGTCCGTTTCCATCCACGACAGCAAGATGATGTTTGTTGATTGATTGATTTGTTGGGTTTAACGTCCCAAAACCGCTATATGATTGTGAGAGACGCCGCAGTGGAGGGCTCCTGAAATTTTGACCACCTGGGATTCTTTAACGTGCACCCAAATCTGAGTACACGGGCCTACAACATTTCCACCTCCATCGGAAATGCAGCCGCCACAGCCGGGATTTGATCCGGCCGCGACCTGCGGGTGGAGATAATGTTCGTTTGTTTCATGCCTGTACGTACTGGCACATGCCCAGTCTGGGGGATTGGCCACGAGATCTATAGTAGTAGCCTATATGTGATACACTGATTGAGAACCTATTGTTAAAAAAATAAAAATAACAAAATAAAATATTGAAATGAAAAATAATAATAAACTAAAATACAATAAAGAATAATTAATAAGAGAAAAGGAGAGCTAATACCATATTAGAAGACTGAAATTTTGAGTAGACCAGAAAGTTGAGCTTATCTCACCCGGCCAAAATCGAATGACTGTGCGACTTTCATGCACGTTATCACAAGTATTCGTCAAGAATATATTTAAGCAGGCATTATAATGACATGCGCTTAGATTCTTGAATAAAATTGCGTACGGCATCGAATATGATTCTGTGGCAATGTCCCAAGCCTGAGGCACCGAAACTATGAGAACATTATCTGCAGTTAAATTTAAGCCTACTGTGAAAAACGGAACAACTTAATATTTTCCTAATTAATGAATAGTTTCTTCATGATAGAAGTAATGCTCTATCGTTTCTACATGTTTCTTCGCAGAATTTGCAGTGGGGAGATACCGCTAGACCGGCTCTGTGTAAATAAATGTTTAATGGAGGGACACGACATCGAAATTTGGTTCAAATAACTTCTATCTTTCTAGATTGACTCTACTGAGATTTCCAGGGATATCCAAGGTGCTGATAGTCCATCCATTTAGTAATATTTTCCATCGTATCCGTATAAATAGCTAATATTCTATATCTGATTGACACTACGTGTTCTAATTCTGTTAGTACTGAGATCAGAGGACCATCAAGCGAAGCTCGAGCTAATGAATCGGCCATTTCATTCAACTGTATGCCACAATGGCCTGGGACCCATACTAATTTCAGGAGCTTCAGTTGGCGTGGAACTAATGTGTGCAATGTCACTAGGGCTTTTGATTGTTATGAAGCTTTGAGAGCAGTGTACACCGAAAGAGAATGTGTAATCATCATTGCACTGTCTTCGTTTGAAGACAGTTTTCGGAGCGCCAAAATAATGGCCAAGAGCTCAGCTTCGAAAACCGGTGTGAAGTCTGGCACCCTTACTGAGAATGACCAACCGAGGTAATCAGAGACAATTCCCACTGCTGCCTTTTCTTTATTCACAGAAGCGTCTGTGGCTATTATGTTCTTTATTTTTGCATGAGCTATGTAATCTTCTAACCTGTTATTAAAAAAGAAAAAGTCGAAGATTGGAATTTAGATACTGAGGAGAAAATTTGACCATATTATATAGTAATATTGTGATGTAATGTTTTAGTTCCAATTACCGATCTGATGTCTACCTTTATGCTTTCCAGTTTCCTTTGTACAAAAATAATCTGTGGAGTACGAAAGTGTGGCCAATGAGCGAGGAATAAGGCGTTGGAATCACTAATAAAGGCTTATTCAGATCGTCTCACTGATAAGCCTTAAAACTTTAAAAATGTTTGTTCGGTTAGGATACGGAATCGGCAAAGAATAGTTGGTATGCGAGCTTCCTGATATATTACTATAATAGCCACGTACCTGGGGAGTCTCAGACACAAACATAGCGCTTCCCGCTCCAACAGAACTAAAGGTGGTCTAGAACGCGCCTATTCTTCATCGTCATCGTCATGGCGTATAGTGGGTACCTCGCATCGTCATCAGCGTCACCGTCGACGTGCACGGACTAGGCACAAAGGACAAATGTAGACCCTACAAGGTGCTTCGCTTTTAAAACATTTATCTAAACATTCTGTCATTGGCATTGGTATGACACGAAAGTAAAACGAATCCTTACTGAAATAGCGGAATGTTTTATGTGCATTGATAGAACATAGCTTGCACAATGTTTTTTTTTGTGTGTATGGCAGCTATAGCACCATTTAACGTGAGTCTGCGACGCTTAATTACTGGACGTAGAGCTCGGGCTAACGTGGGCATGTTGCGGTATCATAAAGAAGGAAAGAAGTAGAAATTTTATGGACTCTGTTTTCTTTGTTAGACATAATATTAATG